AGGGAACAGGGACAGGAGAGAGGGAACGGCCTCAGGCTGGGCCAGGGCAGCTCAGGGGGGATTTTGGGAAAAAGTTCCTCCCCAAAGGTGTTGTCCAGCCCTGGCACAGCTGCCCAGGGCAGTGGGGAAAACCCATCCCTGCAGGGATTTAAAATCCATGTGGATGTGGCACTTGGGGACATGGCCTGGGCCGTGCTGGAGAACAGCTGGACTCGATGACCTTTGCAATTCTGTGATGTCCCGAGCCACTCTTGACCCCTCCCCTGAGACTCCCCAGATTCCTGCCAGCTGTCCCCAGATGGGAACTTCTCCACATTCCAGGCAGCCACCTCTGATGGGACACAGACACTCCTGCCACCAACCCCCCAGTGGAAAATTTTGGGCAGTTTCAGCAAGGAACACAAGAAGATGATGGGGAGATGAGCACACCCAAACCATTGGCTGCAGGGAGCTGATTTAAGGAGCTTGGATGTGCTCCCACCAGGAATCTCAGCCCTGGGAAGAAGCTGAAGGGAAAATGTCAAACAAATTCTCACCTCTGCCCCACCACCATGAAAGCTGGACCTGCAAACCGAGTTTTAACGGGATTTAAGTTTTCTGCTTTCCACCTCACTTCTCTTCCTACTCAGGAGCATTTGGGATTTCCTCCTCCCCGCACCCAGCTGGGTCCTTTTATTGCCTGGAGCTTCCTGAGTGAATTTGTGGGGGGCTTTTACAAGTGCAGAGGGCTGCCCATAAATCTGCTTTGCATGTGGCACGGATTTGGGAGCTGATTGTTTTGATAATTGAATGGTAAATCAATGTATTTCAGGCCAGTGTTTGCCATTAACACTCCTGAGTAGGAAGTGCTGCCTCTGTCAATAGTGGGGAGGTTTTATGAGGACAAAAACTGCAGATTTACAGCTTCAGCTCTGGGTTTTGGGGTTATTTTAATGGTCATTCAGTATCTGCTGTTCCAGAGCCAGGAGAATTTGGGGAACATTTCACATCATGGCCAAGCAGTGTTTGCAATTCAAAATAAGATGGAATATTTGGGGAAACATCTCACCCATTGTCTAGCATTTACCTTTTATATTTTTCACATTCTGAGCTGCTTTGGGGTGTGGGTCTGGTCTTACATTATCCTGCTTTATTTTTTAACTCTGCCCAGCCTCTGTTCTAGGTCAGATTCTCAAGGCATCACCATCAGCCCCATCTCCTGTGGGGTGACCCAATTCCCTGCAGTCACTGGCAGTCCTGGTGCAGGAGAGAAGCAGGGGATGATGACCCTGTGTCTGCAGAAGGCAAAACCCGCAGATGTGGGCTGTGAAACAGCAGGGTTGGGCAAGAAGAACATCCTGGAGACCACGAAATCTTGGAACAGCCCCAGCAGCACGACAGGGAGCAAAACATCACTGCCCTTGAGCAGCTCCTGCTCGGCTTTGCAGCTCTGCTGATCCAGAATTGTTCTCCTGGGTCACAGCAAACCCCAAAGCCTAAAGAGGTGGCCTGGAACAGAGGCTAAACAGAGTTTGTGACAGGTCAAGGGAGGGGGTTTGCATTTTCCATTTCAGGGGAGGCTCCTGCCTTCCTCACCAGACACCTGGCTTTCCAAACCATGAGAGAGTTAAATTAATAAAGTGGAGATTTATCAAAGGTTTTAGTTTTCCTAGTACAGAACTGTTATTCCTGCTCCCATATCTTTGCCTGAGAGCCCCTTAATTTCAAAATTATAACAATTCAGAGGGAGGGGGTTTGCATTTTCCATGTCAGGGGAGGCTCCTGCCTTCCTCAGCAGACACCTGGCGTTTCAAACCAAGACAGATTAAATGAATAAAGTACAGATTTATCAAAGGTCTTCAGAGGATACACCCTGGGCAGTGCAAGAGCCCGGCCGTGGATGGACCCAAGAAGGAGGGTGAGTCACAAGTTTTCACACTTTTATAAGTTTTGGTCCATTTCCTGGGGCAGTTCTCTGTTCATTGGGCCACCTGCTAAAGCCAGGTGGGGCAGTTTTCTTTATCTCTTCCACACCCAATCCTCTCTCCAAAAAGATAATTTCTGTTAATTGAGTGTCCCTGTGTGGCTGATAAAATTTCATCATCCTGTTGGGAGATACCCTGCCCAGGGCAGGAGCCAAGCATTCCTACCTGGATCCAATCTGAGCCTGGAACAGCACAGCAGCCTTTGCCCACTGCATTCCCAGAGGAGCAGCTTTCTCCTGCCCTGCATTGCCAGAGGAAGAGCAGGCCCATCTCCAGCAGCCCTGGAGCTGCAGAGGAAAACTGCAGCCTTGTGCAGGATCCCTGCTCCAGCAGAAGCACAGCTGGCACTGCAGGAGGGCTGAGCCCCCATGGGATGGGACTGTGCCACCCCCCTGACCCACAGGGCTCAGCTCCTGCTCTCACTCTGCCTCTGGTTTGGTTTCTTTTTTTGTACTATTGCATTTGTATTTTTAGTTTTCCTAGTACAGAACTGTTATTCCTGCTCCCATATCTTTGCCTGAGAGCCCCTTAATTTCAAAATTATAACAGTTCAGAGGGAGGGGGTTTGCATTTTCCATTTCAGGGGAGGCTCCTGCCTTCCTCACCAGACACCTGGCTTTCCAAACCATGAGAGAGTTAAATTAATAAAGTGGAGATTTATCAAAGGTCTTCACAGGATACACCCTGGGCAGTGCAAGAGCCCGGCCGTGGATGGACCCAAGAAGGAGGGTGAGTCACAAGTTTTCACACTTTTATAAGTTTTGGTCCATTTCCATATTGGATTCATTGTCCAATTCCAGCTCCAGGTTATGCACTCCCCCCCTCCCAGTTTGCTCTCCTCAATTGTTGTTTTTACTTTTTGGGCCTGAAGCTGCAGCGGTGTCCTTGGTTGTGGGGCTGGAAAAGGATTGTTGTGTCTGACTGAGCTGTGAGGAGAAATTTCCGACACTTTATATGGAGCTCAGAGTCACACACTAATGCAGAATCTGGAAAATATCAGAGCTGAAACTCAAGGCATCCCGCTCCCAGCCAGGGCTCCCCTCCCCTGGCAGGGTTTTCTGTCCTTCCTGAGCTCTCCAGCCCTTCCCTTCGCTGCCGGGGGCTGCTCACTGGAGAAGGAATAAATCCCATTAAGGGTTTTAACATTTATGGCCAGCGAGATAATAAAAGGATGCAATTTGGGGTGGCTTTATTGCACTTATCATAATGTTTCCCTGAAGCACAGAGATAAAAGTCAGCGAGCAATGTCCATAAGGAGTTTTTATATCTCCCTCTTCATTTTTTCCTTGGCAATATCCACCTCATTCAAAGACGGTGTCACTTTACCAACAATGGAAATTCACTGCAATAACCCCATCCCCAATGTTAAATTGTTTCACCACATGGATAAGTTCTTTTCCCATGTTTATCTTGCAGGGATTTGCATTTGGAGACATCTCCTCCTCGGTTTCCCCTTTATTTTCTGCCTTTTCATTCTCACTTTACCCTGTTCTGCCATGTGGAAAAGAAAAAAGTTGGATATTAGACCCAAAACCTCAAATATCTTTAACATCTTTACTTCAAATTTGTATTAGGAGCAGATTGCTGTCTGTAAGATACACATGATATAAAAACAAGACAACACACAAAGATATCTCAAAAGCTGTAATTTTGCTTTCCCCTGCTGTGACAGTCTCATCTCTCATTATTTCCCAAAAATCTGGCAAAATTATATTTATTTTTTCCCGTATCGGTTCTGAGATTGTACCTTTCTCTTAAAGAAAAACAGTATTTCACTACCAACTATGAAGCGTTAATGGTATGTTGTGAAAAAAAAAGTATAACAGAAATCTAATTTATGTTTATATTTCTGTGTGTGTGTGTGTCTATACATATATAGATGTTAAAATATATATAAAATTAATATTCCTGGGTCTGCTCCAGTGCAATTTGAAGCACAAAAGTCATGACTGAAAGTCATGCCTTTTCATTCTCACTTTACCTGTTCTGCCATGTGAAAAAAAAAAGGTGGATATTAGACCCAAAACATCAAATATCTTTAACATCTTTACTTCAAATTTGTATTAGGAGCAGATTGCTGTCTGTAAGATACACATGATATAAAAACAAGACAACACACAAAGATATCTCAAAAGCTGTAATTTTGCTTTCCCCTGCTGTGACAGTCTCATCTCTCATTATTTCCCAAAAATCTGGCAAAATTATATTTATTTTTTCCCGTATCGGTTCTGAAATTGTACCTTTCTCTTAAAAAAACCCAGTATTTCACTACCAACTATGAAGCATTAATGGTATGTTGTGAAAACAAAGTATAACAGAAATCTAATTTATGTTTATATTTCTCTCTGTGTGTGTGTCTATACATATATAGATGTTAAAATATATATAAAATTAATATTCCTGGGTCTGCTCCAGTGCAATTTGAAGCACAAAAGTCATGACTGAAAGTCATCCCTTGAGGCAGGAGAAGAGATGGAGCCATTTATTGATCCCTAAGAAGAATTTTCCCCTTCAATCTTTTCGCCCCAAAATCCCTCTTTTGTGCTAGTTTTGGCCCTTCCCAATGGGATGGAACGATGGCAGGTTACAGGTGGGGTTCTGGGCACTGTGGTCATGCAGGTGAGACACGGCACGCCTGGAAACCATTTGATCCTCAGGGGTGTCAATTTGAATATGCAAATCGGGCTTAATGAGGGTCTGGGCTACCTTATGGCCGACCAAAACCCCTTTGGTCACCCTCCACACACTGAGGCAGCAGTAAAGGCTCTGTATTAGCCACACAGTCTTTGTGTGCCTCTTTATCTCCTTAAATTGACATATTTTTAACGTTTATAATTTGTTGTGCGGGAGCGGGGCCAATGGCTGCCTCAGGGAGGCGAACTACAATTCCCATGCTGCTTTGCTGCAGGCTCTGCGCTCCTATTGGCTGGCGCGGCTGTTGGCGCGAATCACCTCCCTCGGGCTCTTCCCGTCTCCATGGCAACGCGTAAACAAATGGCGGCGGCCATGCCCGAGCGGGGACAGCGCCGGTAGCGGGGTCCCGTCCGCCTCCTCCCTCCTTGTCACAGCTCATGGCGGGCGGCGAGGAGAACGCGGCAGGAGAAGGCAGCCTCGGGGAGCCGCTCCCCGCTTCGGACGAGCCGCCGCAGCCCCTCGCTGAGGGGCTCCCCGAGGAGCAGCCCCGGCCCGGCCCGCCCCACCGCGAGGATGAGGAGGAGGAGGAGGAAGAGTCGGAGCGCTCGGAGGTTCGGCCCTGGGCTCCGCAGCTGTCTGGGGAGGGGTGTGTGCATGGGAGGGAGCTGCTCTTTCCCTCCTCGGGGTGGGTGTGGGGGAAAGAAGGGCGGCACGTCTCATTTCTGCCTTTTTAGGGTCCCACCCCGTGGTGTCCAGGGTCCAGGATTGTCCCTTTCTCTCTAAGAATAAATTAGATTGGGAAAAAACACTTTGAGGATTGTCGATTCCAACCATTAACCCAGCACTGCCAAGTGCTCCTGGCCATCTAATATTAAGGATGAACATGTATGGCCAAATTAACCCAATTCCCTGCTTAAATTCCCAGCCCTGAGCTCCAACGAGCCCCATGGACACCTCTGAATTTTCTCTGCCTGCCCTGCTGGGCTTTAAATCCCCACACCACAAAATGTCCCCTCATATTTTGCCTTGTGGAAATTATTCTGTGCTCTCCTTTGCTATAACATGTAAGTGCTATAATGAAATTATTCTATTATTTATCTTGGTCCCTGTTGAATTATGGTCTTCTGACCCAGAGATGGGGCAGCTGAGAGGTGTTTTAAAAACTTTTACCCATTCCCAAATGGCCCCAAAATGCACGAGCGCTGCCGGGGTCTCTCCCTGGGCTCAGCTCTGCTCCATGTGCACATTGCAGTTCAGTGTCCAACCCCAGTGCAGCCCCTGCACTCCCATCCTTGTTTTTCTCTCTGCAGCCCACGGGGTTTGTGCTCCTGGGCTGGCATTGGGATCATTTGTCCTTGGTGCCCAGCTCAGCAGGAATTGTTTTGTCTCCCTGCTCTGTGCACAGAGCTCCCCATCCCATAATGTGAGCCCAGACCCACACCCCAAAGCAGCTCAGAATCTGAAAAATTAAAATTAAAAATCCCAGCAAAAACCTCGTGAACCTTCCCGAATGGATGGAGCTGGCACGTGGCACGTTTCTGTTTGGCTGTTTTGAGGGCAGGATTCATCATTGTCCCTAATAATCATTTTAATTAGCGAGGTGGTGAAGCATTGAAAGCAACATTTGACTGAGGACTTTTATCAACCCTGTTCCCCCCTGAACCCCGGCGGCCTCTGGATTCTCCCAAGAGTGGGATTTCCCCTCAATCCATTTTTCCCCTTTCCTGGTGTTTTTTAGGGTCCCTTGGAGGGGGTGTTGGATGAAGACACCGCCGCTGAGGGACTCCACACCTTCGGCCGCTCAGCCCCTGGCACTGAGTATGTTTATCTTCATCTGTCACTTCCAGTAAGTACAAGCAAAAAAAAAAAAATCAATTTAAGGCCCTTTTCTGCACAAATATTTCCTTTTTTCGACAGCAAATAGTTGGGGAAAAAAAGCCTTGTTAAAAAAACAAGATGTCAAGAGGCAGATTTTTGTCACTTTGATAAGACTCAGAGTGGCTCCTGCTGACTGCCAGAGTGGAGAGTTGTTTTGGTTTGGTTTTTTTTCATACATCAGCACTGAGATTTTTGATTTTTTTAATTTTTTTGCCCCGGAAATGCTGCATTCAGGAAGCTGAAGTGGTTGTGTCTTTTCAAAGCTCTCTGCTGTCCCTCCCTTTTCCACACAGCTTTGTTTCCCTGGTGTTTTTCCTGGCTTTTTATTGCTTCAAAGTCTTCTTTTTTTTTTTGCATTTTCTCCATTTCTGGCTGCTCCAACATCACTTTTCGTAGAGGTCACCTTGTCCTGCTGCAGCTGGAGGGACCTTGGGTGAGCTGAGCTATTAAGCAGTTATTAAAATGATGATTAAAATCCCTCCCTTTCCCTTTCCCAGGGTCGTGACTTGAGCGACATCAGCATTCTCTCTGGATACGTTCACCTGCAGAAAATGGACCTTTCCTCCAATAAAATTAACGGTATGGAGTAAATAAACCACAAATTCCTGGCTGCTGAAGCAGTTTGAGATGAGAAAGGCACCGGGCCAGGGAGTTTTAGTGTCACAAAGCCTGGCTGGCATTTTAATGGTGTCAAATATTGTACGGAGCCGGGCTTGATCTCCCCCAAAACCCCCCAAATTTCCACGGCCCATGAAGAGCAGCATATGTTTGTCAGAGGGAACAGGAGCTCAAACTCAGTTTATTACCCGGAGATAAAATCCCAGCAGATGTGTCAGGGTGAAGGTGCGGATGGCAGGATATCCCAGTCATGCTTGGTTTGCTTTTCCCAGCCTTGAGGTTTTCCTGGGTGACAAAAGGTATAAAAATGACATTTTTTTACATTCAGAAAGGTGTCAGACAGAGACTGGGATGAGTTCCAGCTGCTCCTTCCCTCTCTCTCTCTCTCTCATTATTTTTTTTAATTTAACATCAAGTGGAATTTGTTGTGCTGGGGCAGCCACATCGTTTCTCTCAAGTTTTTTTTCACTTTACAAAAGTGCAGCTCCTCTCCCTGCTCATTTTAATAAGAGATATTTTTTTTTTCCGTGGAGGCCAGGTATGAACAGAGCAGGGACTTTTCCATAGCAACCTCTCATTTACTCCTCAGTCGTGGCCTAAATGATTTTCTGCACTAATTGGTAATTCAGGGCAGAGCGAATCTGAAATTCTAGAGGTGGATATAAAAATATAATTAAATATATAATTAATATTGTGTAATATAATATGGTATAATGGGCTATAATGTGGTGTAATCTGACATAAAAATATAGCATAATATAGTATAGAATAATAGAATAGAATATAGTATAAATAATATATTATTATAATATAATAATATTCCGTTTATCATTTAATATTTAATAATTATATTTATATCTAATAATAATATTTAATAATAATGTAATTTAATATTTCTATAACGTTAATTTCCTGAAGGCCGTGCGCAGGTAACGAGCTGGCCGAGGTGCGGGGGCTGGAGCGGTGCCGCAGCCTGAGCCAGCTGGGGCTGGCACACAACTGGCTCCCAACTTGAATAAAATCCCAACTTGAATAAAATCACACCTTGAATAAAATCACACCTTGAATGAAATCACACCTTGAATAAAATCACACCTTGAATAAAATCCCAACTTGAATGAAATCCCAATTTGAACGAAATCCCAACTTGAATCAAAATTTGAATCATTTCTGTAGGATCGATGGGATTTAAACGCCCTCAGGATCAATCCTTCCCATCCACCTCCGCACCCACACCCCAATTAGTGAATTTCCTGCAGCCCGTTAATTTCCTGAAGGCCGTGCAGGTAACGAGCTGGCCGAGGTGCGGGGGCTGGAGCGGTGCCGCAGCCTGAGCCAGCTGGGGCTGGCACACAACCGGCTGGCGGCCGTCACCGGCCTGCGGGGTTTGCCCATCCGGAGCCTCGACCTGGTGAGGGAAAATTCATTGGGGCTTGCCGGGCTGGGTCTGTCAATATCTATCCCAACTTGAATCAAAATTTGAATCATTTCTGTAGGATCGATGGGATTTAACCCCCTCAGGGTAAACCCTTTCCCATCCAGCTCCGCACCCACACCCCAATTAGTGCATTTCCCCCCTAATTCCCTCTTTTGCGTTGAGCCCGTTAATTTCCTGAAGGCCGTGCAGGTAACGAGCTGGCCGAGGTGCGGGGGCTGGAGCGGTGCCGCAGCCTGAGCCAGCTGGGGCTGGCACACAACCGGCTGGCGGCCGTCACCGGCCTGCGGGGTTTGCCCATCCGGAGCCTCGACCTGGTGAGGAAAAATTCATTGGGCTTTGCCAGCCTGGGTCTGTCAATATCCGCCTGTAAATAATCAATAGAATGGGATTAATATGGATAAAATTAGAGTATTTGATAATATATTTTATATTATGTATTTTATATTATATACTATATATTTTATAAGTAAAATATTTTTAAATAACACAATATATATTACATATATTATATATAATGTGCGTTATATACAATATGTATGTATTATTTCTTATTTATTATATATTATGTAATATGTGTTATATCTAATTATTATAATAATTTTTATATAATAAATACATAGATAATTACATAACAAATTATCAGAAATATCTGCAGTACCCCACTTGAGCACATCAGCGAAAATAAATATATATTATATATTATATATATTATATATAATATGCATTATATAGGATATATATGTATTATTTCTTATATGTTATATATAATATTTATATTATGGGTTATGTAATATGTAATATATATAATTATTACAATAATTTATATATAGAATAAATACCTAGATAATTACATAACAAATTATCATAAATATCGGCAGTACTACACATCCCTTAAATTAATAACCCCAATGTTGTTTGTGTTATTAATTACACAGCAACACAACCCAAACCTGTTTTTAACGCAATCCCGTGGCTCCTTTTAAACAGCTTTTACTTCGTAATAAATGGAAAATATTGAATAAATAAAAATAAATCCCAAAACCTCTACAGAGCTCCTATTGGCTACATTCGTTTTAAGCACCCACATAAATATTTTAAATATTTGTAATTAAATTAATGAATCCCTTATAAGGAATAGAAATATTCTTTTTCCAATCATTTAAAAATTTTTTTAAAAAATAATAAAATAAAATTTTCGTTTATTCTGTGAAATTGGATGTAGAAAACACCAGCCCAGACTGGCCCTTGGCTGCTGCAGGAATCAGGGAAGGTGCTCACATTTAGCATGTTTGGAATAATTTATTCATAAATTATTAAAATTAATTCTTTGATTTTAATAAAATTATTAAAATTATATTTTGATAAAATTCTATTTCATTAATAAAATTATATTTCAGATCTGTGACACCTCCACGAGCTCCCAGTGAGCCCCTCAGTGGCAATAAATTGGAATTTGGTCTCTTCATCAATTGGAATTTGGTCTCTTCATCAATTGGAATTTGGTCTCGTCATAAATTGGAATTTGGTCTCCATAAATTGGAATTTGGTCTCTTCATCAATTGGAATTTGGTCTCATTTTTGGTGGGGAAGATGAACTCAGATTGGCCAAACCCCGTGGAAATGTTCTGAAAGGAGCTCTGGGAATCTGAGGATCTTTTTTCTAAATAATTTGATTTTTTTTCCTCCAAATTTGAGCCACAGCAAGTCCCTCTATCACTGTGTGTCCTGATTTCCTGGTTTGTTTAAAGTTCTACCTTGGGAATCTGCTCTGTCCAAAGCTGGGAGATTTTTAACAGTCAAATTTTATTAATTGTGAACGTGTTCCTCATTCGGGGTTCTTAGGTGCTGATATCACTGTTCATAACACTGCTTGTCTTTTTAATTAGCCACGTGGAAATTATGGAAAGAGATTTTAGCTGAGCATTTTCTTTAAAAATTAGAATTAATTAGAATAAAATACAGTTATTATTATTATTATTATTTCTATTATTACTGTTATTATTATTTCTAATATTATTTACTATTATTATATTTATTATTTATTATTTATTATTTATTATTTATTATTATTATCTGTCCAAAGCTGGAAGATTTTTAACAGTTAAATTTTATTAATTCCTCATTCAGGGTTCTTAGGTGCTGATATCACTGTTGATAACACTGCTTGTCTTTTTAATTAGTGGAAATTATGGAAAGATATTTTAGCTGAGTATTTTATTTAAAAATTAGAATTAATTAGAATAAAATACAGTTATTTTTATTATTATTATTGTTATTATTATTATTGTTGTTATTATTATTATTATTCCTATTAATTATTATTATTACTATTAATTATTATTATTTTATCCCCTCCTTTCCCAGTGATTCAGCTTTCTCCTTATTTATTATTTATTATTTATTATTTATTATTTATTATTTATTATTATTATTTTATCCCCTCTTTTCCCAGTGATTCAGCTTTCTCCCCCATTTCCCCTTGAGCTTTTTAGGTTGAAAAGAGCAGAAAATTCTCAAGTTTGGGAGGAACACTTCCAACCTGTAAATTCCACCTTGCTGTACCCAAAACCCCTTTATTCCACTCACGTTTGCAAAGAAAAAAATAAAATAAAATAAGAAGCACAGCTCTAATGAACCGGACATTTAGGAATTTTCTGCTTTTGAAGGATCCATCCCCAAATCTCTTTTATTCACAGAATTTCCTGGGCCAGCATTTTGCAATCCCAGCTCCGATCAACCAGAGGTCTAACGAAGCCTCCATGCTATTAATAACCTAATTAAACATTTAAAAGTCAGGGAAAAATGTCAAGGGCAGACAACGGGATTAACATCAGAGTCAGCTGGCTTATTTATTTCAACAGTTCCTAAATATTTATCAGTAGGAGATGAGGCTTCCAAGCTTTTAGCACGAGGTGAGGCTGGTGGAAAAATAAAATTCGCAAGGTTATGGAGGAAGAATCCCGTGGAGAGAGAGCTGGGAATGTGTGGGGTGGGATGAGCAGGGAATTGTTATCCCTGCTCGGAGTTTGGGGCAGAAATGAGTCTTTGATTTATTTATGAGGAGGGAAAACCAGTGAGAAATCAGGGCCTCGTTTGAAAAAACTCTGAGGGTTGGTTCTCCAAAATCTGGGACGTTTGGTGTGGGAGAGTCTGGAAGAATTTACAGGAAAAATGTTGGGTTTTTATAATTATTATTTTTTAAACATTTCTGTGCTGTTGCTGACAGTGAGTGGAGCCTTCACTTGGTGTGTGTTAATATGGATTTATGTATTCCAGAGGGATTTTGGTATCGTGTGAGGGAGTCATGGAACGTCCCTCTGCAGCTCTCCTGAAGCCCCTGCAGGCCTGGAATGCTCTGGAAGCTCTCCCTGCATCCTTCCCTTCTCCAGGGAACATTCCCAACCCTCAGCCTGTCTCCTCTCTCTGCCACCGTAATTTTTTCATTATTTATTCTGTAATCACAAGTGTAAACAGAGCCGTGATTACAGAGGGAAATTCAATGCATTTATGTATATATATTCCATAATTTTCCATGCATCTCTTGTTCTAAATTTTGAGCTGGATGGTGACAAGAGTGTTCTTGGGCCAGTATCAGCTTTTAAAAATGTTGGAGCTCTTTTTATTGCTGTTGTCTCTTCAAGGTGAGTTGGAGATAAGCTAATCAGGAGAGAGTTGATTCCTTTTTTCCATGAGGAGGAGTGTGACATATCAGGATGTACATGAGGCCTATTTGTGACAGGATTCTCCACGAGAAAGGATCCTCAAATCTAAAAAATATCCTTTTTTTCCCCTCAGGAATGTTGTTTTCCATAGAGGTTTAGCAGCAGGAATGTAACACATCAGGATATGCATAAAGACCAATTTTTGACAGGATTCTCCACAACAAAAACTCCTCAAATCCAACAAAAAACTCCTTTTTCCCCTCAGGAATGTTATTTTTCATCGAGGTTTATTTGCAATTTCTCTGCTTTCATTTTTTTTTCCCTAGAGCTTTAACCAGATTGAGAAGGTGAATGGGCTGAAGAGCTTGAAAAATCTGCAGAGGGTGGATCTGTCCCACAATAAAATCAACAGCCTGCAAGGCTTGGAGGAGCACGACCTGCTGGAGGTGATCAACCTGGAGGACAACCAGGTACCAGCTCAGCTTCTTCCAACAGCACAAAATATTTTCATTTTTTAACACTCAATTCCTTGAAGGGCTCCAAAAATCCTCCAGCACTGCAAGGAATGAATATTAGAAAAGTTGAGATTTTTTTTTTTGCTGTTTCCCACGTCCTCTCAGCCCTTATTTGAGATCTGAGGTGGCTTTTTCTTCGCTCGGGTCCCACCTCAGTGCTCTCACACGCTGAGAATTTGCACTGCAGGGATGAGTTTGCAGATTTTCCACCTGGGTTATTCCAGAAGATCTTTACTTACACCCCCAGGCCTCGGGGGGGGTTGTTAATACCTCTCAGCCCAATTTTATGGCCACAGATTCTTCTGAGCTCTCAGCTGGAAACTCCCTGCAAAGCAGAACTGCAAGAACTCGGGTAAAAAGTGGATTTTGTTATGCAGCATAATTTTCTGTACTGGAAATAACAATGGCACCATCCAATTCTTTTGAATTTTGAATGCCGAGCCAAATATCCATAATAATTTTGATATTGATCTTCCAGCATCCTTAACTGAAAAAAAAATCAATTCATGAATCACTTTGACATCAAAGACATGTGGAAAAAAAAAATTATAAGCTAAGAAAACAAGAATATAAAGCAGCAGTGGAACATTTTCTGTCATTTTTCTCCCCTTGCAAGTGGATTTAATTCCAGTCACTGTGCATTCTTTTCCTGCCTGTGCTCAGGTTGACATTTCAAGGTGCCTCAATTGCAGCAGACAGGAAACTCTCTAATGGCGTGCTCGTTATTAACATTAATAACACCACTTCCAGTGCCTTATTTATGTTCCACTGTTCTTTGCAGCACATAAAAACTCTTAATTTTACCTCATCAAAACTTGCCTCTTTGAATGATGTCATTGATGCTGTTCAACAAGTTTTTTGAATTTTTTTTTAACTTTTTTTTTAACTTTTTTTTTAACATTGCCTTCTGAAGAATAATTTAAAAGGGAGTTTTAATTAAGCAACACATGGAGTTACTTCAGCTCAGAATGATCTTAAATTCTTGGGTTTTTTTTTTAAAAATGCCTACAACAGTTTCAGCTGCAAATGTGTGCCTTGTAAACATTGAGTGATTTCCAATTGTTGGTGGCTAGAATTCTGGGATTTGTTTAAGAAATCCACTCAAATCACGTTTAACTTCACCAAAACTTGGGTGGGATTATTATCTCCAAGTGAGTTTAGAGCAGGCTGTGGTTGAGGTTTATGTTTTTAGGCACTTTAAAAGGATTGAGTATGAATTAGGGAGAATCTGGAGGTTTTAGGTTCAGCTGGGCTTTCAGGATTTCAAAGGGGTTATGAAAGAGATGGAGAGAGGATTTTCCATGGAAAACCATAAACAGGACAAAAGGGTTCTACAGTAGCAGAGGAGAGATTTAGATTGGATTTGGGGATGGAATTCCTGGCTGGGCTGGAATTGCCAGAGCAGCTGGGGCTGCCCCTGCATCCCTGGAATGTCCCAGGCCAGGCTGGACATTGGGACTGAAATAAATGGGCAGGAGATCTTTGTCCTTTTTAATGCCTTTATTGAGAAGAACCAGCTCAGGTGGGGAGAAGCCGACGGGTCCCAGGCATGGCACCGAGGAGGAGGAGGAGGATGCAGCTTTGTCCTGGTCTGCAGGCAGAGCTGGGGATTCCATCCTCACGGGAGAGTCGCAGATTGCAGCTTGTTTGTCTAACACCCCGGGGTGTCTCTTTAATCAGCATCTTTTCAGGTTAGGGTGAGAAGCAAAAGGGTCCAAGCAGGTACGGGACTGCGCTCCCATCCTCAGACGTCACTTAGGTCACTTGTTGGCTCGTGATTTTAGGGGTTTTTCCTGTAAAAACTGTAAAACTGTAAAAGTCCAGGGTGCAATGCCTTTCTCATTTGCATACTGGCTCTGATGTCACTGCTATTCTGGGTCTGTCCTGGTGTCCCTCCCTGGCAAGGGCCAGCATCAGGGAAACAACAATTAATCACCAGCCATTAACGGGTAATTAAGGACCTTTTCTTTGGCAGCGAAACCAAAGAAGTCTGACTGGTCTGACTTGTTTTTTTAACTCTGAAACTTAAAAAAAATACAACTTTCTATTCAAAACAGGGACAGTGGGAGATGCCCCTGCCCGTGGCACTGGATGGGTTTGAAGGTTTGGAGCTCCTTCCAACCCACCCCATTCCATTCTCTTCATCTTCCAGCAGAAAACCGAGTTGGTTTGGGCCTCACAAAATTGACTGACCCCAAAAACGGAGTGCCCAGCTTCTCTTTGTGCACAGCTGAGACCCCAAATAGGCTGGGCCCTCTTGATCCCCTAATTTATCATCTGGACACATCCAAGCACAAAAATCCTGTTCCTTTTTTAAACCAAGTTCTGTAGCATGAACTTGAACTTCAGCGAAAAGAAACTCTCAGAAGGATTTTATTTTTTTTAAACCACCCAGCCAGAGCAGGAATTTCACTGCAGAATTGCCTCGCTCGAGTACACCAGCACATAAAAAGCCAAACGTGTTAGGGCTCATCTGGACACATCCAAGCACAAAAATCCTTTTTTAACCAAGTTCTGTAGCATGAACTTGAACTTCAGCGAAAAGAAACTCTCAGAAGGATTTTATTTTTTTTAAACCACCCAGCCAGAGCAGGAATTTCACTGCAGAATTGCCTCGCTCGAGCACACCAGCACATAAAAAGCCAAACGTGTTAGGGCTTGACATTTGAGAGAACTGGAAAAATGCTTGGAAATTGCTGTGTGGATTATCCTGCTGCTCCAGCTAACAGCCAAGCCGTCTCCTTTTGTGCCTGGAAGTGCCTCATTGAGTGCAGTTAACATGTAAACCCCTTTTGTGATTTAGAATTATTTTTTTTTATGCCCAGATTTGAAGAGCAGCCATTAAAATATTTCATTTTCCCTGCCTCGTTCTCTTGGATTCTGTGGCTGCTGATTTCTGCTCTGTTTCTGTCCCTGCTCAGGTGGCTGAGCTGAGTGAGCTTCAATGGATTGAAGATCTGCCTCTCCTCAGGGTTTTAAATCTCCTAAAAAACCCTCTACAGGTGAGAAAGGAGCAAAAATGAGAAGATAAACCTGATGGTTTGAATCCTTTCAGCCTCAGTTTCTGTCTCTAGAAGAGGGCAGGTCATTTGTCCTGAGTGATCAAAGACAATTCTATCCCAGCCCTTGTGATTTCTAAATTTTGTGTGAATTTTAGAGTCATTCCAATGACAGAAAGAAGAAAAATATTAAATAATTTAGTTTTTTCTTGTAATTGCCAGTATTTTATTGGCTTTTATGAGGCTGGTCTGTCATGGCACACAATAAAATTAGCAGGAAAAAGTACCTGAAATAGAATGTTCCTGATTTTCTATAATCTGAAAGGCTTTTCCTGCTGAGATGTCCTTCTCCTAAGCAAAGTCTGATCAAATCCCTTTCCATTTTTAAATTCCCAGCTTGGCCTTTGGAATATTGTGGTTTCAAACTTTTGAACAACTCAGCTCTTGCTGCAGTTGTGAAGGGGATTTGTCAATTTGGGCAGTGTCTTGACACCCTTCAGGGTAAAAAAACCTTTTATTTTGCAACGTATTAAGGCAAATTTAATTTTAGCTGATTGGAATTCAGTATTGGCTGGATGAAATTAAGTGTTTTTTGTCAAAATGGAAACTTTTTCCCTCAGAAAAAAGATGGTTATTGGCTCTCAGCCATTTTCATGTTGCTCCAAGTCACAGATCTGGATCGCAAGAAGGTCTCGGTGAAAGAAAAGGTAAGCAAACATCATTTCATTCTGGAAATTTTTGAAATAAATAATAGAAAATTCAGGCTTGCAGTTGTAGCAAACCTCCTCCCCCAAAATCCTGCTTGACAGAAATTGTTGGATTGGAAACCTTTCCCTGCTGTGGAGCTGGAATTTGGTTGCTGAATGTGCTGTTTGGGGCACATTTTGTGTTCCTAAAGAGAAATTTCCATGTTTTACTGAAGGAGGAGATGATTTCATGAAAAGCATGGAAGGGAGAGGCAGGTGGATGCTCTTTTTCCAATGTCACCATTCCCAGGTGACTTCTCCCAGTTTCTCCGCTAAAAAATGGAATTTTTGCTGCTCTGCAGCTGTGTTGTGATATCTGAGGAATTCTTGGGAAATTTTTCCACATAATCTGATGTAATACACTATAAATATATGTGTATTTTTATTTTTATTTTTATTTTTATTTTTATTTTTATTGTTATTTTGGCTGCAGCGGGCACTGAGATCAACCTTTGTGCCCCACATCCCATTTTGGTGCTGAATTAATTAATAACTGAGTGACCTGATGGAAAATCCAGGAGCTGAGTGCTCTCCCTCCCTCAGGAAAGACAGGAATGCATTGTCAGGGGTTTGCTGAATTTGTTAATGCCCACCCTGTAATGAATGAGTGGCTTCAGTCCTTCAGTTTGAGTTTGGCCCCTTCCAGCAGCACTGAGAGGATGCAAATTAATGGGGAATTAAATCTGCTTTTGCACCCTATGTGGCATCCTGCTTTCTTCAGGGAAAGGTTGTCTGCAAAGATGGTGAGATGTGTCTGGCTGCTATCCATCCATCTATGCTGCCATCCATCCCTCAAATCATCCATCCATTCCTCAAATCATCCATGCATCCATCCATCATCAATCATCCATCCATCATCCATCCATCCATCATCCATCCATCGGATGAAATTAAGTGTTTTTTGTCAAAATGGAAACTTTTTCCCTCAGAAAAAAGATGGTTATTGGCTCTCAGCCATTTTCATGTTGCTCCAAGTCACAGATCTGGATCGCAAGAAGGTCTCGGTGAAAGAAAAGGTAAGCAAACATCATTTCATTCTGGAAATTTATTAAATAAATAATAGAAAATTCAGGCTTGCAGTTGTAGCAAACCTCCTCCCCCAAAATCCTGCTTGACAGAAATTGTTGGATTGGAAACCTTTCCCTGCTGTGGAGCTGGAATTTGGTTGCTGAATGTGCTGTTTGGGGCACATTTTGTGTTCCTAAAGAGAAATTTCCATGTTTTACTGAAGGAGGAGATGATTCCATGAAAAGCATGGAAGGGAGAGGCAGGTGGATGCTCTTTTTCACAATGTCACCATTCCCAGGTGACTTCTCCCAGTTTCTCCGCTAAAAATGGAATTTTTGCTGCTCTGCAGCTGTGTTGTGATATCTAAGGAATTCTTGGGAAATTTTTCCACATAATCTGATGTAATACACTATAAATATATGTGTATTTTTATTTTTATTTTTATTTTTATTTTTATTTTTATTTTTATTGTTATTTTGGCTGCAGCGGGCACTGAGATCAACCTTTGTGCCCCACATCCCATTTTGGTGCTGAATTAATTAATAACTGAGTGACCTGATGGAAAATCCAGGAGCTGAGTGCTCTCCCTCCCTCAGGAAAGACAGGAATGCATTGTCAGGGGTTTGCTGAATTTGTTAATGCCCACCCTGTAATGAATGAGTGGCTTCAGTCCTTCAGTTTGAGTTTGGCCCCTTCCAGCAGCACTGAGAGGATGCAAATTAATGGGGAATTAAATCTGCTTTTGCACCCTATGTGGCATCCTGCTTTCTTCAGGGAAAGGTTGTCTGCAAAGATGGTGAGATGTGTCTGGCTGCTATCCATCCATCTATGCTGCCATCCATCCCTCAAATCATCCATCCATTCCTCAAATCATCCATGCATCCATCCATCATCAATCATCCATCCATCATCCATCCATCCATCATCCATCCATCATCCATCCATCCCTCCATCCCTCCCTCCATCCCCAGATTTCTGCTCCCACCCCAGCCCAGCACAAAGCCGTCCTCGTTCCCGGTGATCAGCCGGAGTTTCCCGCCCAGACCAATCCCCCTCTCCTCCCCTCCTTTCCCCTCCCGGGATTTCGGGATCAGGTGGCCGCGGTGAACAAGGAGGATCCTCCTCCAGAGGTGGTGGCTGCTGAAGATCACCGGCTCCACCTTTTGTACGGCGCGCAGCGGCCCCAGCGCGTCCTGCCCAGGTGAGTCCATTCCTTTCCCAGCCGCTCCTGACTGGAGTAAAACACGATTTTGTCACATCCAGAGGGACATTTTTCCCGAGCAGAACTCCTGCGGGATGCTGTCAGCAATGGGAAACGAGGCAAAGCTGATTTTGTTCAAATTGCTGACGAAACTTTTCATTCACCTCTAAAGTCCGAGCCAGATTGTCCACAGCCCCGCTCCCTCTCCTCAGTCTGCTGGAGCAGATTTTGGGCGTTTGCACCACAAATGAGAAATGCAAAATTCATCCCAAAAGTGTCCAAAAGCACTGGGGAAATCCCTGGAGGCAGCAGAGAGCTGCACAACTTCTCCTTCCCCCTCTGTTCTCTCCCCGCTGCCGGCGTCCTGTTGGGATAAATTGGGTTTATTTGGGGATTTTGGGGCACATTTTGTGTTCATAAAGGGAAATTTCCGTGTTTTACTGGAAGGAGATGATTCCATGAAAAGCGCGTGCTCAGCTGGAATTAATGAAAATCTTCCTTAATGAAGATTTTCATTAATGAATTTTCATTAATAAAGATTTCATTAATGAAATCTTCCTAATGATGATTGCCCTTCCCACCCTAAAATGCTTTTTGGAACCAGACTGGGGGAGCTCATTTGCATCTCAGGTTATAATTAATTCTGGGTTCGTGATATCTTTATTATTGAAATCAAACAAAGCAAAAAGTTTTTATTCTTGCCTGTCCTGCAGGCACAAAACTTTGAGTTTCCTATTTTTTTCTTCAATTTGTGATTTAATCTGTAATTTTGTGTAACACACCGGTGAATATTATGGGTGTTTTCCCCTTCTAGAGATGCAGGTGACATTTAAAATGTTGCTCAGAGTGACAACAGCAGAAATTTAATTTATTTTCATTTCCACTCTGATTTTTGGTACCTGGCTGTTGAGGAGGAACCCGTTCAGAGAAGGATTAGAGCGTGATTCTTTCTGACAATTAAAAGAATTAATCATTGCAGCAATTTAACAAGAGTTCTCCACAACTGGAAGGGTTTTAATTCAAATTTGATCTCATGGAAATCCAAGTATCGGGCTGGAAACAGGAACCGACTTGGGGAATTCCAAGTGGGATGATGATTTAGATCATCAAAATCATCCCTTTTGGGCTTAAAATTTATTAATTTTTCACAGCAGTGCCCACAAGCACAAAAAATTTGAATAATGAGCCCAAAACTTCTCCAGAATTTTCTTCCAAGCTGTAGAACCCCAAACTTTCAGTGTTGGGAACCAAGGAGTTCTCAATGTGTTAAGACAGGATGATGGAAATGTTCTCCTGATGAAATCCTAAATCCCAGAAATCTGGGGACAGAGAGAATTGGGAATTTATTGAAGGGAATTTGAATTTTGAGCGTGACCTCCTCAAGGGATGATTTATTGGGTGTAACATTTCCTCATGGAAGGAAAGATTCCAGAGGAATTCTGCATTTTCCAGTCCTGAAACAGAAACCAACTTGGGGAATTCCAAGTGGGATGATGATTTAGATCATCAAAATCATCCCTTTTGGGTTTAAAATTTATTAATTTTTCACAGCAGTGCCCACAAAGACAAAGAAATTTGAATTATGAGTCCAAAGCTTTCCAGAATCTTCTTCCAAGCTGAAGGAATCCCAAACTTTTAGTGTTGAGAATCAAGGAGTTCTCAATGTGATTAGAGGACGATGGAAATGTTTTCCAGGCAAAATCCTAAATCCCAGGAATCTGAGAACGTGGGGAACTGGGAATTTATTGAAGAGAATTTCAATTTTGAGCGTGACCTCCTCAAGGGATGATTTATTGGGTGTAACATTTCCTCACGGAAGGAAAGATTCCAGAGGAATTCTGCATTTCCAAGCCTTAAATAGGAACCAACTTGGCGAATTCCAAGTGGGATGATGATTTAGATCATCAAAATCATCCCTTTTGGGCTTAAAATTCATAAATCTTTCACAGCAGTGCCCACAAGCACAAAGAAATTTGAATTATGAGCCCAAAACTTTTCTAGAATCTTTTCCCAAGCTGTAGAACCCCAAATTTCAGTGTTGAGAACCAAGGAGTTCTCAATGTGATAAGACAGGATGATGGAAATGTTCTCCTGATGAAATCCTAAATCCCAGAAATCTGGGGACAGAGAGAATTGGGAATTTATTGAAGGGAATTTGAATTTTGAGCGTGACCTCCTCAAGGGATGATTTATTGGGTGTAACATTTCCTCATGGAAGGAAAGATTCCAGAGGAATTCTGCATTTTCCAGTCCTGAAACAGAAACCAACTTGGGGAATTCCAAGTGGGATGATGATTTAGATCATCAAAATCATCCCTTTTGGGTTTAAAATTTATTAATTTTTCACAGCAGTGCCCACAAAGACAAAGAAATTTGAATTATGAGTCCAAAGCTTTCCAGAATCTTCTTCCAAGCTGAAGGAATCCCAAACTTTTAGTGTTGAGAATCAAGGAGTTCTCAATGTGATTAGAGGACGATGGAAATGTTTTCCAGGCAAAATCCTAAATCCCAGGAATCTGAGAACGTGGGGAACTGGGAATTTATTGAAGAGAATTTCAATTTTGAGCGTGACCTCCTCAAGGGATGATTTATTGGGTGTAACATTTCCTCACGGAAGGAAAGATTCCAGAGGAATTCTGCATTTCCAAGCCTTAAATAGGAACCAACTTGGCGAATTCCAAGTGGGATGATGATTTAGATCATCAAAATCATCCCTTTTGGGCTTAAAATTCATAAATCTTTCACAGCAGTGCCCACAAGCACAAAGAAATTTGAATTATGAGCCCAAAACTTTTCTAGAATCTTTTCCCAAGCTGTAGAACCCCAAATTTCAGTGT